CAGCAATAGCTGTAATGATAACTATAATTATTATTTTCCTATATATTCTGTGTCCTTGTCATAACTATTGGTATTACCGTAACAGCAATAGTGATTACCAATATCATATTTGTTCTCTCGATTTTTATTCTTTTATGTTTCTCATTTTATATCTTATTGATATTCTATCCAGTTTCTTCATCTGCACTAGCACCTTTTTTGGTATTTTTAATGTTCTGTCAAAATTACAGGTAAAGATTAAATATAGTATTTTTGTCAGTGTTATAACGATAAATCATACTATTCACAGCAATTATTTGTCATGCCAGTGATGATGACGATAAAAACGTTTTAAAAACAACAGCAACAGCAATAATAATAATGACAATGATAATAATAATTGTAAAAACAATGATAATATTATTACGATTATCAATATTATTATTATTATCATTAGCGATGTTACCATTACTATTGTCATTATTATTATTATTATTATTATTATTATTATCATTATTATTATTATTACTATTATTATTATTATTATTATTATTATCATTACTCTTATCATTATTATTATCAATATTATTTTCTTTAATATTATTATTATTATTATTATCCTTATTGGAGTAACTATTATCATCATTACCATTATAAGAATTATAATAATAATAATGATTATAACAACAACAACAACAACATCAGCAACAAAAACAATAATGATAATGATAATAATAGTAATAATGATAATAATGATAACGATAGCAACAATAATGATACTAATAATAACATTATAGTAGTAGAAGTATCAGTACTGTTATTATTAGTCTTTATTATTGATAATGATAAAAAAAAGATGACGATGATGATAATGATAATGACAATGATAATAATAATAATTATAACAATTATGTAATGATCATAATAATAATAATAATAATAATAATGATAACAACAACAATACTACTACTACTACTACTAATAATAATAATAAAAATAACAGTAACAGTAACAATAATTATAATAATAATGATAATGATGATAACAATAAAAATAATCATAGAGAACAACAACAATTCAAACCAATGCCAACGAAAGCAAGAAAGGTAGCATTGATAATGACGATAATGATAATTATCATTGTTGATTATAATAATTGCTGCTATAACGATAACGATAATGATAATTATCACTACAATAACAGTGACAATGTTTACAATGATGATCATTTTGAAATCGTAATAAATGTAATGGTGATTCTTTTAATGACAGTTATAGCAGACCTGGGATTGGAATAATAACAAAAATGACGGTGATGATAGAGATAAGAATGATAAGAGTAGAAATAATATTAATACTACTACTAATAATAGTAATAATAATAATAATAATAATAATAATAATAATAATAATAATAATAATGATAATAGTAATAATAATAATAATAATAATAATAATAGTAATATGATAATGATAATAATACAGCAAATAATAATAATAGTAATAATAATAATAATAAGAATAATAGTAATAATAACAATACAACTAATGATGATAATAATAAAAATGATAATAAAAATAGTAGCAATGATAAAAATAATATTAAGAATAACAATAATCTTAATGAAAATAGTAATAATAACAGTAATGATTATGATGATGATGATAATGATGATGATGATAACAATAATAACAGTAATAATAATAAAACAAAAAACAATAATAATGTTGATAATAATAACAATACTAACAACAACAACAACAATAATAATAATAGTAATAATAATGATAATAATAATAATGATAATAATGACAATAATAACAATAATGATGATAATGATAATAATAGTAAGGATAATATTATTAATAATATTAATAATAATAATAATAAGAATAAGAATAAGAATAATACTAAAATATCAAGAACAATAATAATAATAATGATAATAAGAACAATAATAATCATCATCATTATCATAATAATAATAATAATAAAAATGATCATATAAATAACTTTTATTATAACAATAACAATAACAAAACAACAATAACGACAACAATAATAAAAACAACAATAATCAAAATTATCATTATTCTAATGATGATAATAGTATTAATACCAGCAACATTAATAATAATTATTGCAATTATAACAATGACAATATCCAGAGAAAACATTAAAAATATCAATAACAATAAAGCTGGCAATGACTGGAAGAGGACCAACGCTAAGCATAACAATACCAACAACGGTAATAACAACACATTACGTTACTACTAATCACAACGACGAAAATCACCAAAAGCGGAGGGAAAACCCACTGCCAAAACACAAATAGAAACATTAACAGTGATAGCATAATGATAGATTTGGGTGAAGCTTGATACATTCGGTACACACAGCCCGGAAGGCGGATAGGTGAGAACCAGGTTAATCTACAAGGCGGTGTACAAATTACAGGTATTACAGTGAAGGTAATACTATAACACAGTGAAGCAGATATCCCTCACACATGCTTACCATTATATCATTTGGTCCTCGATTAAAGTGGACTCATTGAACGGCACCAGATATTTTTTTTCAACAATCAAAGGCGTTAAGATGGCACTAATCAAGGTGACACTGGTCACTAGGCACTGTCCGACACCGCTTGACCCGAACTGATTTACTGAGGGCCCTTGAAGCTTTTACGAATATTTTGGCCTGGGTGTTCGTAAGTGCTCGTGCGCAAGTTGCTACCACGGGACTGTCGCTCTTATGTCCACTGGCCCGAGACGCTATGTGAGTGTGCGGAGGGATGACCCCGGCATTGTTGGGGGTGGGAGAGGAGGGGGGAAGGGAAGGGGGAAGGGGGCAGCGGTGGCACTTCACGTAAGGTTCCTCGGAAGCACCTGCCCCCACTCCGCCGTAAACTCGCTGGCGCACTTTGACGAAGAACGCAGGGTTACAACGGCGAAATCCGAACGCACTTTGACCCGAGCCCCTAAAGACAAAAACGCGTTCAGGTGGGCCTGAGCTAGCGAGCCGCAACGCACCACACACAACGCCTCGTAGCTCCCTCACACATTAGTCGCTCCTTCACCTTGTCCATAGGAGACCATACTGGCTGGCGGGGTGTTTGTTTTCTTTGGTAATAATGAGAGAGGAGGTTATCACAGCGTGGAGATGGTAGATAACCTGCTTTCTGATAACACTATCTTCGCCGCCCCATCGAGACCACACCAGCACCGCCTAGTGGCAGTTGCACGAACCATACATGTGAGTCGGCCGGATCTACCGATGTTTCTTAGTGCTTCTTTGTGCCTTTATTTTCATTCCTATTTTTTATTTTGGCTTATTGCCACTAGAGGCAACTTCAAAAGCGTGTAAGACGAAGACAATGATGCTAAGAGAGGGTGTTGTTAGTTTCGAATATAGCGTTTTTTTCTCGTTTCCCATTCTCGCTTTCGTGCACAGCAGAATCCCGCCCATGTGTCGACTCCGCCCACTCGCGATAAGATCTGTGATTGGCGGGCGCGGCAGGGGGTGGACCGAGCATGCGCCGCAAACAGCCAATCCGAGCCCGAGTTGCGACTAGATGAGGGCGATAAGGACACAAGCACACTGCAATTAGAAATAACAATTTGATAAAGTAGCGCTCATCATTTTCACATTGCTTCATCTTGCTTTGATAGATAACCTGTAACATTGCATCGAGTCATCGCTATATCTAGATGAAGGAGATGACCGAAACGATGAGGAAAAAGTCGAGTGAGCGAGAAACTAGTCGAGACTGTGATTGTATCTCCAAAACTATTCAAGTCGCGGCGGTGCACATGCAAATTGGCAAGCTTAGAGAAAGTACATATGTTGCACGATTTGGGACATTTTGGTAAAGGAAAGGTGGGGGTACATATCTTTAAAATTCTCGAATTAACAGATTGCTTTGTTTGTTTTCTTTTCCTACCGGTGAACTTTAATACAAGGACACCTTAAGTTCCAAATATTGAATGCTATTTCAAAATAAAAACAAAAATAATTACGATCAGGTATATGGTAACATTAAAGAACACCCATAGAAAATACACTGCATGCTTTCTGTCTTTTATTTGTCTTCCCTCCAGCTCACTCTCCTCCCCCACTCCCCCCCCCCTCTTTCTTCCTATGTCTCTCTTTCTCACCCAAAGCAAGGTACGTGAACAAGAAGCTTTTGGCAGGATAAACGCAGGCTGCGTTAAAGCAACCATCATTTTGGTGAAGTTGGTATTATAAAAAGTATAATCATTGTAAACTTTGTGCAACTAAGAATTAATTGAATGTCCTTACTATCATATCCAAGACCACTCTTTTCAAATTTTACATTGAAGATATATTACCAATAGAAATATCAAAATGAATGGCATAAACATTAGCGAACAATACCACAAATATGAACTGGATAGGTTTAGGCTCAGTAAAACAAAAATGTCTGGGAAGAAAAAAATAAACTATATATTTAAAGGTAGACATACCAGCAGTGAACAGTAACTGCTGATGTTAACGATGATAAAGCTAATAGTAGTAGTAATAACGGTGACTGTGATGGTCCTAGCAAAGATGATCAAACTCTGAATTACAAGGATTGACAAAGAAGAAAAAGAGAAAAGGACAGCAGTACGGATTTTAATAGTGGTCGTGATGAAGAACACGATAATCATGATGATTACGTTTATATAATATACTAAACTAATGGAAATATAGTAGTTATATTATTATTTCAAGAACAGCAACGATGACGAAAATGTTACGGATTATGATGGGGAACATGCAATGATGATAATAGTAAATTCTTTAATAGTAATAATGACAATAATGATACTGATGATAATGATAATTATGGTTGTAGTAGTGACAGTGATAATAGTAGTAGTAATAGAAAGAACAACAATTATAATGATGAAAATAATGTTGATAATAACGATGGTGATAATGATGTTGATAACGACGATGATAATGATGATAGCACTAATAATGACAATAGGAATACTAATGCCAATACCGATATTACTATTACTATTGCTAATAATCTTGCTCTGACAATGATCTAAACAGAATTTTAGTATAAACAGAAAGAAAAAATACAAAGCATATACTCGTGAAAATATTGCCAAGGAATATTTAGCTGAGAATTCAAAAAGTTGTATAATAAGTGATTTGAAAAATGACCAGAAACTGAAATGTGTAACCTTACTCTCCGATCTTTATGCAATAGATATCATTTTCCCACATGCAAAAATGGATCAATCGGAAATTAGCACGAGAAAGAGTAAAGGCGACAAGCTAAAAAGAAGAGGAAGAAGAGAAATCCACACTAACTCTACGGCATTTTCTCACCCACATTAACCAAAGGGATGAAGGTTATTGATCAGGGTCTATCCCACTTAACTTTGTGAACAATAAGATTTAAAAGCTATATCAATCTCTAATTTCTCCCTACACATATATTTATTTCCTATCTGTCGATCTCTATCTTTCGGACAGCAAGATTGACGGAGTGGAACTAACTACACTTACGTAAAATGCAGAAATACATCAACGTTGCTATAAACACATGTGTGTCCAGCTACTAAGGTTCTCTGACAGTCTGCACGCTCCTCCTTGCCGCTTTGATTTTGTTCTATGACATTCACGGGACCAACTCGTATCTTTCTTCAGCAATCCTGAGTATTGCAAACAGGAGCTTTGGACTCACTGTAGCCACTCGTTATTGGACATCTTTCCCAAAATATATTTTACACCTCTCTCGCTCTCTCTCTCTCTCTCTTTGTGTCCCGATATATATATATATGTGTGTGTGTGTGTGTGTGTGTGTGTGTGTGTGTGTGTGTGTGTGTGTATGTGTATGTGTGTGTGTGTGACTCTCTCTCGCTGTTTCTGTCTATCAGTCGGCCGCTTTTTTCTATCCCACTACTTGTCTTTGTCTGCCTCTCTTTCTGGCCCGCTCTCTTTGTCTGTCTGTGTGTCTCTCTCTAACTGTTTCTCGCTTTTTCATTTTTGCACACTTCATTTAGCATTCATGGCCTCTCTGTCTAAAAGCTAACCTAAGAACCGAATGCCTTTAACGAGTTATGCATGGGAAAAACAACTCTCTGTGTATGTCTATATCTGTCTGTCTGTTTGCTTCTGTCTCTCTCTCCCTGTATCTGTCTCTTTATTTGTGTATCTGTCTGTCTGCCTCTCTCTCTCTCTCCCTCTCTGTACGTCTGTCTGTCTGTCCATCTCTAGATGTGTCTGTCTGTCTCTCTCTCTATTTGTCTCTGCCTCTTTTTCTGTTTATATGCCTTTCTCCCTCTCTGTCTCTGTGCGTCCAGCTCTCCCCATCTCTCTCTCTCTCTCTCTGTCTGTCTCTGTCGTTCTCTCTTTCTCTCTCTGTCTATTTCTGTCTGTCCGTCTCTCTCTCTCTCTCTCCCTCTCTGTACTTCCAACTCTCTATATCTCTGTCTGCCTGTCCGTCTCTCTCTCTCTGACTCTTCTCTCTCTCTCTGTCTATCTCTGTCGTTCTCTCTCTCTCTGTCTATCCCTGTCGCTCTCTCTCTCTCTCTCTGTCTATTTTTGTCGTTCTCTCTCTCTCTCTCATTCTCTTTTCTTGATGGACCTCTCTCTCTCTCTCTCTCTCTCTCTCTCTCTCTCTCTCTCTCTCTCTCTCTCTCTCTCTCTCTCTCTCCCTCTCTCTCTCTCTCTCTCTCTCTTTCTCTCTTATACTTTACTGACATGTTACAGTCAAAACATTTTTTTACAGGCTAAAGGACTTCATTTTTAGTAAATCCTTTCTTAAAGTCTAATCTCATCATATTGCTCCACGTACTCATCTACTATAATACATAATATACAAATCATATAATTATCTATCTTATCTATCTTAGTGGTCTTTGCATTTGAAAGATTGTAAGGACTGAGCTTCCACATCATTGGTATAAATTAATAGATTCCATAATTTGGAATGTCTGGAGAGAAACAATCGCTGGTGGTGCTATGTTCCTCTAGTGCAATGGACGCTCGTTCCACTGTTCTCATGGGGCGTGCAGCTCGTCTACCTGGCAGTCTCATTGGCTACAGGCTCTCTCTCTCTCTCTCTTTCTCTCTCTCTCTCTCTCTCTCTCTCTCTCTCTCTCCTACTCCCCCTCTCCCTCTCCTTCTCCCTCCCTCCATCCCCCCCCCCCTCTCTCTCTCTCTTCTACCTCCCCCTCTCCCTCTCTTTCTCCCTCCCTCCATCCCCCCCTCTCTTTCTCCCTCCCCCCCCTCTCTCTCTGTACATATAGATAAATAAAGTCAGATAAAAAGAGAATGACAGAGAAAGAGAGAGACAGAGAGAGAGAAACACACACACACACACACACACACACACACACACACACACACACACACAGACACACACACATACAAACATACACACAAACACACACATGCATATATATATGTGTGTGTGTGGGGGGGGTTAAATAGTGGGAGGAAGAGGGAGGAGGGAGGTATTGAGAGAGAGAGAGAGAGAGAGAGAGAGAGAGAGAGTCACTTACTCAATCTCTCTCTCTCTTTCTCACTCTCCTTGTGTCTGTCTATCTCTATGTGCCTGTCTATCTGGTTCTCTCTCTCTCTATCTTTCTCCCCCTTCTCTTTCTGTACCTCTGTCTGTCTGTATCTCTCTCTCTTTCTCTCCCTCTCCCTTCTCTTTTCTTTATGTACCCCCCCCCCATCTCTCCCTCTCTTTGTCTGTCTGTCCATCTGCCTGTGCCCCCTCTCTCTCTTTTCTCTTTCTGTAATTTTTCTTTCTCTCTCTCTCTCTCTCTCTCCCTTATCTTCTCTTTCTGTACCTCTCTCTGTCTGTGTCTCTCTTTCTCTCCCTCTCTCTGTCTGTGTCTCTCTTTCTCTCCCTTCTCTTCTCTTTATGTACCCCCCCCCCATCTCTCTCTCTTTGTCTGTCTGTCCATCTGCCTGTGCCCCCCCTCTCTCTCTTCTCTTTCTGTAATTTCTCTCTCTCTCTCTCTCTCTCTCTCCCCCTTTTCTTCTCTTTCTGTACCTCTCTCTGTCTATGTCTCTCTTTCTCTCCCTCTCCCTTCTCTTTATGTACCTCCCCCCTAACTCTCTCTTTGTCTGTCTGTCCATCTGCCTGCGACCCCTTTCTCTC